AACAGAGCTGGTCAGCCCCTTTAGGGGCAAAGATGACCTCTGCAAGGTATGTGGAGTTTATGACTGACCACTTTCTTCCCTGGTACAGAAGGAAGAACTATGCTTTCCGTAATAAAATCATCTTCATGCATGACAATGCACCATCTCATGCTGCAAAGAATACCTCTGCATCAATGGCTGTTATGGGGATAAAAAGGAGAGAAAATCATGGTGTGGCCTCCATCCTCCCCTGACCTCAATCCCTATTGAAAACCTTTGGAGCATCCTGAAGCAAAAGATCTATGAAGGTGGGAGGCAGTTTACATCCAAACAGCAGCTCTGGGAGGCTATTATGACATCTTGCAAACAAATTCAAGCAGAAACTGTCCAAAAACTCACAAGTTCAATGGATGCAAGCTTTGTGAAGCTGCTATCAAATAAGGGGTCCTATGTTAAAATGTAATGTGACCTGTAAAATGTTGTTAAAAGTTTGATTGAAATAGCTTTTGATTTCAGTAAATATGCTGCAATCAAATGACAATTTTCAGTTTTTTACAACCTATAAAGTGTTTTGAAACTTACTGTGCTTAATAATTTGGAACAGTGCATTATAAGTTTTTTATGTTTAAAAAAAATACTGTTATTAGGAGGTTTGTTCAATAAAATTTGAATTGTACTCTTATTAGTTGAAAATATGAGAATTATGCTGACTGTTGTTTACCTAAATAATTTATGTAAATGAGAAAAATATCATTTGCATAATAATTTGGAACACAGTGTACAAGTAAACAACCCCTTTGCCAAATATATCATTTTTTTTTTGGGCGCTATATTGCTAACATTTTATTAATCTGGGATGGTGAGTTGAATGAATTTTTATCTTTTGCCGCAATTCAAACTACCTTGGACTTTTTTACTCATGTTTTTAACTCCCAAGATATAATCTTTTTAGACTTGGTTTTATCAGCCACAGATAATGAAATTTGTAGTATAAATTACACCAAACCCACTAGTGGGAACCCATATCTACACTATTCCAGTTGTCACCATCCAGCCTGGAAAAATAATATTCCCAGTGGCCAATTCCAAAGACTAAGGAAGAACTGTTCAAAATTATGTAACTACCAAGAACAAGGTTCTCTCCTTTCAAAAAAGTTTTCTGTGAAAGGCTATCCTTCCCTTATTAAAAACGCATACACCAAACACAGTGTATTGAAAGACCGAATACACACAGGCCCCTGACCAGTCCAACTTGGTGAGGTTCAATCACTGGTTTCAACACATCACATCGTGACATTACAAACATCATTCGAAACACTGGCACATTTTACAATTAGATCCTAGACTAGCATCTATTCTCCCACGTGCCCCACAAGTAATTTTCAAGAGAGCCCGTACTTTGAAAAACATTCTATCCCCAAGCAAAATGGCACCGTCCACCTACAAAGATAATGGCCCCCTTCCTACATTTGACGACAGAACTGGCATCTATAGATGCAACAAAAGAGGTTGTCTCACCTGTCAGTCCATCACCCATGGCAGATCACAGGTTTTGGACTCCCAGGGCAACAGCTACCACATTCGTTAGTTTATTACGTGTGCAACTGACCACGTCATATACGTCCTCATATGCCCGTGTAAGCCCGTCCTATATGTAGGCCGAACCACACGCCCTCTACGCAAACGCATAGGGGAGCAAAGAAAACTTATAAGAGATGGTTGCGATAAGCATAGTGTCCCCAGGCACTTTTTGCAAACCCATCAAAATAATTTAAGTCTTGAGGTCTTAGCAATCGAACATATTACAAAGGGTACATTTACTGACAATGAAAGACTAGCTCGTTTATGTGAGAGACGTTCTGGATCTACAAGTTAGGTTCTATGACCCCCATTGGTTTCATTGAGGATCTTGAAATCCATAGCATTATCTAACAAGTATGACTTATAGTCCCCGGAACTAGGATCCTCCTGGTTTTTTTTTTTTTTGATAACCATTATGGTTATGTACTGATATTTCTTTTATATACATTATTGTCTTCTTTTAACACTTTTTTTTTTACTTTTACCATGTATATATTGTGCCTACTCAATTATGAATACATGTTACTACACATCTATTGCGTTTATTTGATTACGAACATATGAGCTACCTACCGTATTTTTCGCACCATAAGACGCACTTTTTTCCCCCCAAAAAAGGGGGGAAAATGTCAGTGCGTCTTATGGAGCGAATATGGAGCGGCCGGCCCGGTATTTCCACTGCCGCCGTGTCAGAATACCGGGCCGGCCGCTCAGCTCTACAGCGGGACCTTATAGAGATGACTGCTGACCTTTGGGGAGGGAGGGGGAGCGGGTACCTGAATTTGACAGCTACCCGCTCTCACTTCCGTGGAGTTGTTATTTCATCTTACCCGTTCCTCTATCCAGCGGCGCGGTCTTCCCGGCTTCTGTAGTGTGGGCATGACAGCCGGGTGCCAAGTGTGCATGCGCAGGAAGCAGTGCTTTTTGTGAATGGTAAGGCGGCACCTGGGACACATGACAGATCCCAGAAGCCGCCGGACCAATCACAAAGCGCAAGTGCTTCTCGCTCATGCGCACTGGGCACCCGGCTGTAATGCAGTCTCTGGTCATCTCCTGTACTGTGTCCGCAGTCTCTGGTCATCTCCTGTACTGTGTCCGCAGTCTCTGGTCATCTCCTGTACTGTGTCCGCAGTCTCTGGTCATCTCCTGTACTGTGTCCGCAGTCTCTGTCATCTCCTGTACTGTGTCCGCAGTCTCTGGTCATCCCTGTACTGTGTCCGCAGTCTCTGGTCATCCCCTGTACTGTGTCCGCAGTCTCTGGTCATCCCCTGTACTGTGTCCGCAGTCTCTGGTCATCCCCTGTACTGTGTCCGCAGTCTCTGGTCATCCCCTGTACTGTGTCCGCAGTCTCTGGTCATCCCCTGTACTGTGTCCGCAGTCTCCCTGTACTGTGTCCGCATCATCCCCTGTACTGTGTCCGCAGTCTCTGGTCATCTCCATCCCCTGTACTGTGTCCGCAGTCTCTGGTCATCATCCCCTGTACTGTGTCCGCAGTCTCTGTCTCTGGTCATCCCCTGTACTGTGTCTCTGGTCATCTGTACTGTGTCCGCAGTCTCTGGTCATCCCCTGTACTGTGTCCGCAGTCTCTGGTCATCCCCTGTACTGTGTCCGCAGTCTCTGGTCATCCCCTGTACTGTGTCCGCAGTCTCTGGTCATCTCCTGTACTGTGTCCGCAGTCTCTGGTCATCTCCTGTACTATGTCTGCAGTCCATTAGTTCAGAATTTTTTTTTCCTGTTTTCTGCCTCTAAAACCTAGGTGCGTCTTATGGTCAGGTGCGTCTTATGGAGCGAAAAATACGGTAATTTGATTTTACAATATTCCTTTTAGCAGTACCTTTTATACATACATTTTTATTTTCATATGCCAAGCTTTCACCTCTCCCCTATTCCCTTCTTTGTCCATATACCCATAATTACCTCACTATAAATGTATTTTTTGACATAGCTTCCATGAACCAGCGATGTCACTTAGAGTTCTCCCACAAGAAAAGTTTTTCTTTTTATTACATTTATTCTGCTAAAGATAAAAGTATATCATGCTTTCCAATAGTGTTCTTATACATATCACTTCATTAATTGGCACCACTTTCTATAATTTGCAATTTGTACTTTTAAATTTGTATTCAGCATTGCTTCATGACGAGCCGTCCGCTCTGATTGACAGCCCATCCCCTGCTAATTACACTCAGCCAGCCTTCCCTTTAATGGTCTTCTATATAATGGCCGCCGGCCAGGGTTACCAGAGACTTGACAAAGCACAACTGTGCAAAACATGTCGTCTTGGTAACCCTACACACGCTCCCAGCTGAAGCCAATGCCGGACACTGGTATAGATGAATCAGAGTAACTTGCGAGCCACAGGTGTGATAATTACTAGAGGATCACAAACATGAAACACATAACTACAACTGTGTTGGAAATATCTACAAATATATGTTGCGCTCCTAAATACTTCTCAATAAATAATAATTAAATTATTACCATTAAATTAATTCAAATTATGATACAAATAACTAATAAAAGTGTATAAATACCAAAAAATATTTAAATAGATAATTTCAACTAATCAATCTCCTCCAAATAAATATCAAAATAATTCCACATGAAATACTCCTCTAAAAAAATATTTTACCAAGTGCTCATAAATCATCTATTAGTGACATGATGTACTTACTAATACCCTCAATTTCATTTATATTCATAATACCCTCATTTATTATAATAAAAATAGTAAACCAACTAATAACCCTCAACTAAAACGCATTTAAATGATCCCCCATAAATAAAAATAACCAAATGCTTATAAATAATTAGTAGTGATTAGTATGAATCCAAATATCATCGAAATAATAGTCCCATTGAATAAACAATTGTTCATATATAGTGACTTGGTGCTTGTTCTTCAATTTGTGACTTTTGTGAATCCTTCAAATAGTGAAGATGTGCGCTCACCTCCTTTGATGCCTGCAATTAGGCTATACACACTTTCGGTTCACTTTTCCTGGAACCTGCTAGACATATACTTTTGCTGGTAAAATTGGGAGATCCTTCCTTTAGGAGTAATGGATGTATCCTCTTATGGCTGATTACACACTCCTTTTGTTATCTCAGACCTCCTAATTATCCTCTCCTTGTGTTACTCCGCATGCAGGAAGAAATAGAGGACATAGTGCTTTACTTTTTAAAACTTTTTATTCCCACCATCCAAGTATTAAACTCACATTAGACAGGTTTAAATAACGCAATATCCCATTGGAAATCCTCTGCTGGCCTCTGAGTCATACACCTGCCGTCTATCATGTTGTGCGGCTCCTCTCCGAGTGATGACGTAGCCCCTCCCCTACGCGTTACGCCTCCAATCACGTGGCTTCATCAGGGGGTTGTAATAGGTCAATCACTCATCCATTGCCAGCTTATATATATCCCGTCCTCCATTTTGCCGGACACTGCCTTCGCTTGCCATGGCGACACCACCCGGGATGCCGGTACGCTGATACCATGTGATTTAAGTTGACAGCAGCGTTCTCCGATCTCAGCTCCCTTCAGAGCGAACAGGCCGTCCGTTGGAGTCACACTGTTCACTTCAGGCTGGTCAAATTTTATTATATTTGCTACTGTGTCTCACCCAATAAAGATGCACCTTCGTTAAGGTGCTTGTCTGAGAGCATTTTCCACAGCGCCTATTTTTTTCAGTTCCCTGATGATCTGTGTAGCTCCAGCAGTGCCACCTGTCAGTGCTCATCCATGCCACCTGCCAGTGCCCATCAGTGGCACATCATTGCCACATTTCATTGCCTACCAGTGCACATCAATGCCACATATCAGTGCCCATCTGAGCTGCCTTTCAGTGTCATCCATCAGTGCCAGTCAGTGACACCTATCAATGCCAGTCAGTGTCACCTATCATTGCTGCCAATCAGTGCCACCATCAGTGCCAGGCAGTGCCGCCTATCAGTGTGCATCAGTGCCCATCAGTGCTGCCTCAGTGCCAGTCAGTGCCGCCTATCAATGCCGCCTAACAGTGCCATATATGAGTGCTGCCTTTCAGTGCCCATCAGTGCCACCTACCAGTGCCTCCTCATCAGTGCCACCTATCAGTGTCCATCAGTGCAGCCTCATTAGCGCACATCAGTGAAGGAGAAAAATCACTTATTTAAAACATTTTATAACAAAAACTAAGAATAAAACTTTTTTTTTTCAAAATTTTCCATGGTTTTTGGTTTAAGAAAAAATAAAAAACCCAGAGGTGATTAAATACCACCAAAATAAAGCTCTGTCACAAAATAAAAAAAATTCATATGGGTACAGTGTTGCATGACCGCGCAATTGTCATTCAAAGTGCAACAGTGCTGAAAGCTGGAAATTGGCCTGGGCAGGAAGGGGGTATAAGTGCCCTGTAAGCTAGAGTTAGTGGGTAATCACTGCTGGGTGTTTTATTTGTTCTACTATAAACAAAAAAAAAAAAAGCAAAAAATTTGCTTTGTTTCTATTATAACATTTTGCAAACAGGTAATTTTCTCTCTTCACTGATGTGCGTTGATGAGGCTGCACTGATATGCCACACTGATGAGGTGGCATGGATAGGCAGCATTGATAGGATGCACTAATGAGGTGGCACTGATGATGCTACACTGATATGCAGCAATGATGGGCACTAATGGGCGGCGCTGACTGGTGGCACTGCCAGGTGCAACTGCTGGGCTGCACTGCTAGGTTGCACTGCTGGGCACTGATGTGCACTGGTGGGTGGAAATGCTGGGTTCTGTTCTATGACACTTGCTGGTTATCGGCACTTTCCTGTGACAGCATGAAGAGAGTGCGGACGATAACCGGCAACTGTATTTACTCCGTGATCTGCTGTGTCATTGGACACTGCTGATCATGTGGTAAAAGGCTGCTGTGATTTACATTTTACCTAATCACTTGATCAGCTGTGTCTGTAGGACACAGCAAATCACGGAGATCACCAGGTGCACGCCGCTGAGGGCATGTGGGAGGGCGTATTTTGGGAGGACATCATATGATGCCCTCCAAGAACTGGACATAGCGCAGTTGGTAAGAGATTAAAGTTTGCACTATTAGTGTGGTCCAAAGGAAACAGTGTATCATTTTGATGGGAAATGAATATGTCTGGCCTAATAAAGTAGACCATAATACATAGGTGAATTGTTCTGGAAAATTTTACTGAAGTGGGTGAAATTTGGCAAAACTGCATGAAGAAACAGAAAGTATCACATAGTGATAGGATCCTGTAGCTTGATTAATATTCTGTGCATAGTTAACAAGTGGTCTGCATCACTGAAAATAACCTAACAGGCATCATATTTATTCAGAATGCGGTTGACACAGTCTGCAGTTCAAATACTGGTTAACACCAGAAGAAAACAAGATGCAAAGTGTCTGTGCTGAAAAAAATTGTTCAGCATAGCATATGGTAGTGTTAATGATGACCGCAGTCATGCCACATGTTCAAAACACAAGGCTATTGTTGCAGCTAGGCAAGCCAGCCGTGGAATTGTTAATTTTGCTTAAAAAAAAAAAAAAAAAAAAAAAAAAAAAAACACACCACACCACCAGATTCAGCACTGTTGGCCAATAAGAAAAGAACTTCTGAAACAGAGTTAAAATAGTTAATTTTCTTTCATAAAAAAATAAGTTTTCCAAGTTGGTATGCACTTACCAGAAGACAGCGTTGAATATTTGATCAGACTGTCACAGAAAGCTTCCAGATTAGTGACAGTTAACTCAATCCAAGGCAGCAGTCAAACATGCTGATCAATAACAGCAGTCATGGTGGTTTGACTAAGATATTGCTATGTGTTGCGGCTGTGTGGACTTTATTAAGCCCTTCCCCCACCCAGCCAAATTCCCCTTTTTCTTAAAACAAACCACTAAAAAAACATTGGTTTTTGGGGTTGAAAAGGCCATAGCTGCAATTTATTAAATAACAACATACGAACTTTCAAAATACAACTTTTTTTCAAACATTTTTCATTATAGAAAGTATTACAACCATCCTAACAAAGACTGACCTCTTTTAGGTCTAGGGTCTTGGAAGGCACCTTTATTTATATCAACCGGCTATCTCCTACAATTCTACCTAAAAGGCCCTCAGCTGCAACACTGGCTCGATAGACAATTAAACTATCAGTCCATCCTTGATACAGATCCACAACCATTAGCACCTTAGTGCCTTAGCTTAAATAGTGAAGGTATACCCATACCTGTGATGGGCTCAACCCAATTATTTTCCAAACTTACCAAACCTCTACCACCTTCGAAGACCCTATGACCTATGCCAGCTTTTATAACAAGCACTCAGAACCAAGAGCACCATGGTCAATACAGAACCACAGCCAGCATGATACCTAAAGGAAAAAGGAAAAATGGCAAAAGAAGAAACCAACAAAAAAATGGGCCAACCTACACATATACTTAGGGGGGGGGGTGGGAAAGCTTGTCCAGTCACCTCTCCAACTGACTGTGAGGCAAAGGTCACCACCTCTTCTACTCCAGCTCGATCCCACCCTACCCCACCTCTTCTCTCTCCAATCAGGTAAGCTCCTGCAACTTTAACAAATTTGTAACATTAACCCTTCAATTGAAAGATCCTACTGCAAACCTAGTCATGCCGGCCTTTCATTTAAGCTTTGCCTCCAGCTCCAGGCTTTCCTCTGACCCTTTGTCCAGGGCAGTGACTTCCCAAGTGATCCAAGAAGGCTGAAACGAGCAGGCTGGTTAGCAGTGCTCACAGGCAGGCAGACAAGTGTGCTTTGTGCAGCTACTTGATCCAAGGTGGCTGTTGAACAGGCTAATCAATAACTGTGGCATCAGTGGGTGAGAGTTCAGGAGAAGCTAACTGTACAAAAAGGTAGAAAGAGAAAAACCATATAATAAAATGTAATGACAACTAATCACCCTCAAATACATGCTTAAAGCATAAGGTCACCTTTTAGTAAAAAAATAATAAATGCACATTTTTTGCAGGTAAAAAAAATGTTCATTTATTATTTCTGTCTGCAGCAGCCTGGAAAGCATTGCACCAGCGGTCAGCAGATCGCTGGTGCTATGCAGTTTTCCTGCAGATCTATCAGAATATCTGTTTGCTCATGCAGCATGTACAAGCAATCTTATTTTTCTCCCACAAATAGAGCTTTTTTTTTTCTTTCACAAAGTGGTATTTGACCACCTCTGCGGTTTTTATGTTTTGCGCTGTAAACAAAAAAAAAAATATTTTTTTTTTTTGACTTTTTGCTATAAATCATATCCAATAAAAAAAAATTTAAAAATCAAATTTCTTCATAAATTTAGGCCAAAATGTATTCTGCTACATGTCTTCGCTAAAAATAAAATCCCACTACGTGTAAATTAATTGGTTTACGTGAAAGTTATAGCGTCAACAAATGGCGGTATGTATACTGGAATTTTTATACTAGTAATGGCGGCAATCAGTGACTTATAGCTAGACTGCGGGTGGGAACTGACTAACTGCCACTGACATCCCCAGTGACACTAATACAGTGATCTGTGCTAATAAAAAGCATTGACACTGTACTAATGACACTGGGCAGGAAGGGGTTAACATCTGGGGTGATCAAAGGGTTAACTGTGTGCTGTGTTTTACTAGGGAGGCATGCTCTCTGCTGACAGGAGAGAGACCTGTGTATAGCAGCGCGTGTGCCCCCTACCCGGAAATGCAAATCACGTACATATAAGTGATTTTGCGCAGCCCTGCCGCCCTGTAGCAGTAAGTCTGCTATAGAGTGGCAGGAAAGTGGTTAAATCATCTTAATTTAATGACAGCGTAATACATGCTAGTGGTTCCTGTTCACTCCTGCACTGTCAGATGTTATTTGTGGGTTGTAACTCGTCATACAGAAGCATGCTGAGTGAACAGTGAATACTAGTTCCCTGCATCTCTGTCACACTATTGACATTATGCCCCCTGACTTTTTATATTGCACCCCCAGATCAGATTCGGCCCTGCTTTCCAGTGTTGATACAGGTGGCCTGCACCCTCCTACATTTATACAAAGCTCCAAAACTTCCCTTTAGTGACGTAAAGTACAGTAAAGTGAAATGAAGGTATCTTGCACCCTCCTGCCATCATAAAAAACTCAGTCACTTCCAGTGGCCTGGCCTGTGCCTAGTATCTGTGGACTGTCTGTCAGAGTCTTCTTGGCCATATTTTTCTGGATGGAAGCTGAAGAGTGAGACATTTGAGTGGAGAGTGAAAACAGTTGTGCTTTTGACTGATGGTGGTTGCAGTTGTTTTATTTTCTGCTTTGGGGTCTCTGCTAACAGCTTTTTAAAACACCTTTTCTGACACTTTTGAAATAGCATTTTTTTTTCCTTCCTTCAGTCTGCAAATCAAGGGGAGTGTTTAATTGTTCAAAAGTGGTCCAGATACTATATACAGTGCCTTGAAAAAGTATTCATTCCCCTTGAAATTTTCCAAATTTTATTATGTTACAACCAAAAATGTAAATGTATTTTATTGGGATTTCATGTTATGGACCAAGTGGCGCATAATTATGAAGTGGAAGGAAAATGATAAATGGTTTTATTTTTTTTATAAATGTGTGAAAAGTGTGGCGTGCATTTGTATTCAGCCCCCAAGTCAATACTTTGTAGAACCACCTTTCACTGCAATTACAGCTGCAAGTTTTTTCGGTATGTCTCTACCAGCTTTGCACATCTAGATAGAAACATTTTGGCCAAGTTGGGTGAAGATGTGGGGGTGGCAAGATCAGAGGTGGCAGCCCTAGATGTCACTGCAATCGCTATTAGCCGAGAAAGCAGCCCATCTAGTAGGGGTGGTGAGGGTAGTGTAGGAAGGCCTAAACAACTGGTGGTAATAGGGATTTTATAATCTGAAGGACTGATAATAATTTGTGGCCAGGATCGTCTAAAGCAAATGGTGGAATGGTGCCAGGATTAGGCATGTGGTGGACCAGGTTGATAAAATACTGGAAGGTGCTGGGCATGACCCAGCTGTCTTGGTCCATATTGGAACCATTGACAGAATACATAGAAGGTTTTTTTGCTAGAGGTTTTTTTTTCTTGGGAGAGTGCATGTGATCAGCACAGGGGCAATCCGCACTGGTAAAACAGAGGTCAGGGGTTCTGCATCCTCCTAGAGCAGAAAGAAAATTCCTCCTACCAGCTTTAGCTAATGCTGGGCTGGACACAGATAGAAGTCACAAGACTGCTCTAACTTCTGAGGAGAAGAGGT